AAAACTAAAAATAAAACTGTTGTATGATCCTGCAATCTCACTACTAGGTATATATACAAAGGAAAGGGAATCAGTATATTGTAAATATATCCACACCTCAATGTATATTGCAGCTCTTATCACAATAGTCAGTATATGGAATCAACCTAAATATGTCCATCATCGAATGAATGGATAATAAAACGTGTGTGTGTGTATGTGTGTGTGTGTGTGTGTAATATATTTTTTTCATACATTAAAAAGGACAAACCCCTGTCATTTGAGATTAAACAGGAAGTGAATCTGAAAGACACATTAAATAAAATAAGCCAGGCACAAAAAGAGAAGTACTTGCTCTCCCTCATATATGGAAATTGAAAAAAAATATTTCTCCGTGAAAGTAGAGATATGAAGAATGACTATTAGAGGCTGGGAAGAATGGAAGGAGGAATAGATGGTTGTAGCTCAACAGGAACAAAATTGCAGATAGATAAGAGGAACAATTCCTAGAGCTGTACAGTACAGTAGAGAGGATAAATGTAACAACACCAAATGGCCAAAAAGGAGTATTTCAAGTGTTTCCAACAAATCATTGAGATGATAGGTGTATTAATTACACTTATTTAGTCATTACATGATATTTTTGAACTGAAAAATCACATCATATTCCCATAAATATATACAAATTATTGTACGCTAATAATTTTTAAAAATAAGAAAAATAACTAAAGACAAAGTTAAATACTTAAGTGACTTTTTTTTAAGTGGAAAAAAGAAAGGCTTAGGGTGTCCTTTTCTTATCCCTTAATTTACATTAGTTTACATGAGGGAGAAACACAAAAGTTGGAGGTTTTTTAGCATAGACATTCAAAAAGGGAGGAAAAAGTCATTAGGGTAATAGGTGGGAATATAAGAACTTTTCCTGGCAGTAGACTATGTGTGAAATAGAGTATATGAAAAATGAGAGGAAGTTTTTCTTTTCCATCAGTATTTTGATCACTGGTGATCTTAGATACCTAGTATATTACTCAGCTCAAGCTGCCATAACAACATGCCACAGACTGGGTGGCTTATGCAACAGAAATTTATTTCTCATGATTCTGGAAGAGAGAAGTCCAAGATTAAACTTCCAGCAAGGAAGCTTTGAGACTATCTCTCTCTCTCTCTCTCTCTCTCTCTCTCTCTTTTAAGAGAGATTTTTGCTATAAGGCGTGTGCACTCGACAGAGAGACAGAGACAGAAAGCAAAAAATCACCTCTCAGAGGGAATGGCCATGCAGCAGTTGCTTCTCCTTCATTCTCCTCTCGGGATCTTGGGCACACGTGCACATCTGCCTGGCATGAGTTTTAAACCACTGCCTGGAACTCAAACCTCAGTCAACTACGAGAGATCCGGTGACATAACCATTATGCCACCTGCTTGTCTCAATTTTTCTAAACCATAATTTTTCAATTCTGTATTAACAGAGGCTACAGTTGACTGTGCATTTGCAGTGGCTGTAGTTACAGATCTGTATTCTACCAATTATGTATGTCTTCCAAAAGTTCATGGAAAATGTGTGTAATGAATTTCAAAAAATGTTCGCCTCAGAATAAACTTGTACTTTAATTCCATTTTTCTACAGACCTTTGGAAGCACCCTTGTAATTGTATTGGCAGAATCTGTAATAACTATCAGTATTCTGGAACTTTGAAGTCTATTGAAGGCTTGCAACTTCCAGGGGACAGCTTGGACAGTACATTGAAGCTAATATGATAAACTGCAGTGAATTCTGGTCAACTCCACCTCTTAGCCAGGAGTGGCTACTGAGCTCACATGCCCACCCCTGTGGCAGGCAGCTGTTCACACATTTCTGGAGCAGCTTACACAAAGCTTGTGGGAACCAGGGTTGGAAAAATGAGCCCTGTCTTTCAAATATTCCAGATCTGTGCTCTGATTGTTTCTGTTGGGCACAAGGTGCAAAGAGGTAGTGGCCCTTGTCCTTGCACCTCCCCTATCATTACTGCTCTAGCTGAACTGACAGCCAGCAGATTTAAAAGGCCAGTGCCAAAGATTAGAAGGTATAAAAGCTTGGAGAGCAGCTGTGGATATAAGAGACATTGTGGGAGGAGGGTGGGAAGGAGGAGGGAAGGTGAGAGGGAGGGAATCAAAAGAAGCTAAAGAAACAAAGCATTTAAGGAACACAAAAATAGAAAATGATCTGTTGATGATAATGTATATAGTAATATATTTGACTGGACTAATACCATGAATTCATGCTGGGAAAAATAAATAAATATATAGAAGGCCAGTGTCCCCTATTTAAAAACAAACAAACAAACAGAAACTTCCCTTTCTCCCCGACTTTTGAAAGACAAAGAATATTCCAAAGTAATCTCATATCAAGGGAAAGTAGAAAGCAATAGCCCAAGGAAAGGTGCAAACTCTTAAAAGACCTGAGAAGATCTTACATTTATACTTCAGTCTGATCTTTGGCAAAGACATAGTCTACAACAATCAAAACAGACAAGTGAAATAGCAACCATTTAAAATGAACAAAACCCAGCAAATCCTCAGGAAATAATTTCAATTTCCAGAATTACCACATTACTTAGATTCAAAAGTTCAGTTTCAACAACAAAGTTACAAGGCTTACTGAGAAACAGGAAAGTTTGGTCATTGGATAAGCAGTGAGGTCGGAGATGGTCCCAGTTTTAGTGATTTAAATTTTTACCTTATAACTTTTTCTTTTTACAAACTCTGTTTCACATTCAGAGAGAGAGAGAAAAAAAAAAGTTAAGTTACAGAAGTGCAAAATTGCCCAGCTTAAAATAAATGAAGCATTGTTTTAGTATTCGGCATGTTTTGCTCTAGTCCTATTGCCTGAAAATTGGTAATATTGTGGGGAATCAAATTAATTTTTTCTTTCTTCTATAACTGAATTCAGTGGGGACTCCAGTATCATAGTGCTCCTAAGTCTCATCAGTGTAAACATTAGCCACTTTACTGGTGAGTGGACATGCAAGTTAATTAGGATTCCTAGTTGAGAGAATATTATTAATATGAGATTTTTATAGTTAATTTTAACATAGGGTGAGGAAAATTAATACAAGTCGTAATGGATTTGAGCTTAGCTCAGAAACCAATTTGTGTTGCAACCTGTGGCAAATAATTTAACCTCTCTACTTGGTCTTTTCAACTTGTGAATATGAATAGTGTTAAATATTCAATATTTAATGAATTAATATAAATCTTAATATTAAATATTTAACTGCTATGTTTGCAATCATGCTATATCATCATTATTGGTCACTATTGTGCAAATCCTCGCTAAGTTTTTTGTGTTGATATTACTCACTGTGGTTATGTTGATCCTCTAAAATGTTTTTAGGTGAGGAAGCCAGGTAGGTTTTTGTGACTTCTGTTGTGATACTTTAGCAGATTGAGAGCAATTGAGATAAGAATCCAGCACTATAGGTTTTTAACCAGCTTACTATAGATTCATTAGACTGCCTCCCTTCGGTTTATTGTCTATTACCTTCTCAGGAAGTTGGTAGACTCTTGCTAGTCATTGCAAATTGGAAATGTTAAATAATACGAATACAAGTAGTCTTTTGGAGGATAAGAAATTGGCATTGTAAAGGTTTGTAAAATATTTTAACCAAGGAAAATAAACCCCATTTGATAGTCCAAAAGGGCACCTACTAAAATTTCCCTTAAGTTCCATATACTAAGCTTTTTCTTTCCTGTAATTTAGCACACTAGTATCTGTCTCTTGATCTACTTGTACTTTTTTATGATGCTCTATTTTTATATCCCATCTAAGACTAGAAAAGTATCCATCAATGGGAGGAAAAGTCACAGGAGAGAAGTCAGTAGTACAGGGAATCTTCAACTTGTTGAGTTCTTGCTTATCTGTAGCTGATATAATTTAAATGATAGTGTATAACCAACAGTTGTTATCCTACCAGACATCAAGTAGAACAGAAACAAAATATTCACCAATACTTTAATATACAGAGTAGAAATCTTAGAACTAATGAGCAGTATGAGACCAGCAGATGGCATAATGGCTACATTGCTGGAATCCCATGTAGTCTACCGCAGTTCGAGTCCTGGACCTGGTGGCTTAAACTCACGCTGGGCGTGTGTGCGTGCATGCCCAAGATCCCAGGAGGAGAATGGAAGAGAAGGGGTTGCAGCGTGGCCATCCCCCGAAGAATGATTTCTTGCTTTCTGTCTCTCTGTCTTTCTCTGTCTTTCTGGTGAGAGCATGTGCCCCATAGCAAAAAAAATCCCCCCCCTAAAAAAACCCAAAAACCTAATAAGCAGTTTGAAACGCACATAGTAAGGGTTTGGAAGAGTAAAACAGAGTGAATGTTGTTTTAAAAATGGTGAAAAACTGAAATATATGCAGACCTAAATGGGTTAATTGCAGGATGATAGCAGGAAAAGATTTAGGCTTGTCTTGAGGTTATGATTCATTTTGAAAAGAACAGATGAAGCTGGATTTTCATTAGATGGGGTACAATATGGGGGATGGCAGCAAGTGGGTGCCTTGTCTGAATTTAGCAGCCCCTCAAAGGAGAAGCGCAGACAGCTCTTCTTTTCTTAACCAAGGAGCAGAGGCTCTAAAATATATTCATTTGTCACATTGACCTGGGAGATAAATGCTATAGATATCAAATGGTTGCTTAGCTAACTATTCCAGTTCTGGAATGTCACTTTTTCCAAGATTTGTCTTGTTTTGTTTTTATCAGGACCAGGGTCCTTGTTTCTGAATGCCTTCTGCAAAATTGTAGCATTATCAAAGCATTTGAAGGAACCCCATAAATACCACCACCCTGAGGAAGAGAGATGCTATTGGTGGGCAATCATGAGTAAATGGGGAAAAGAAAACAAGCTCTTTGGAAAAGAGGAATAGAAATTATTTTTAAACACCCTCTGTGATTATTTATCTAAATGCGGGAGGCGTACTAAACTTTATTTTCAAGTACATGACCTTTTCACAATCATAAACTGCATACCAGAATGTGCAGCAGTTTTAATTAGCCACCCTGTTGTGTAAAACCAACAACTGAACTGAATATGAGGGTTTTTTTAAAATACCCATTGATTTGAGTAATCAGAATTTAAAAAAAAAGACTCATTGTAGGCAGTCTTCTGCAGAGGAGTTTATCCTAGCCTTTTTAATTTTAACTAGAAGTGGAGAAAAATATGTAAATTACACTGTTTGAGTTCACTTCTTACCTTAGAAAAATGATTATGACCAGCACTAATTAATTAGTAGAAGTACTGTCTGTGTAATGGTTTCCTTCAGATAGTGCACCTCTAAGGGGGGGAAAAGTAGGCAGTTTGAGTTATTTCATGAGCTTTAGTGACTATGATTTAGCAAAGCAATAACCTGGAATATATTAGGCAATAACAATGACAGATTCATTTTGTATTTTGTGTCTTAAAAAGGCATTTATGTAAATGTAAATGCTGTGTTTGTAATATAAAAATAGTTGGAAAAGACAGGTTCCTAAGCTAGTGTTGGTGCGATGATAAGACAGAGAAATCTGACAGCCCCCCAACTGTATTGTGTTTATTAACTCTCTATTTTTTTTAAAAAAAAAAAAGCATAGATGTGTCCCATATTAAGAAATTTGGATAGCTGACCATTCCAACCCCAAAATATGTAAATTATGTAAGTAGTGAATATTGCCAAAGAATGCCATCAAATAAGAAATGAAGAACTTACAGCAGGGTAGTAAAAATGATCAATTTTATAAAAATGATCAATTGAGAGTTTGTTTTTGAACATCTAAGATACATAGCAACAGAAAATAGTACCCTATTCCAAAGATGTTGGTATATGAACTTTGCAGGACTACGTGTATTGTAGAAAATAGGAGTTCTTTTATTTTTAATCTTGGTATGACTTTTTCCAGTGTGCAAAATATGATATGAATAAACCACAAACGTAGGTTTTTAAAATGAGGATAGTAGACTTGTAAAAAGTGTGATAATTATGTATTTGCATAGGCATTGTGTTGCAAGGAAAGTGCATTGGGTAATGGTTTCTTTCAGATAGTGCACCTTTAAGAGGTGCCACTTAAAATGGGTGCCACTTTAATCTGCCACTTAAAGCTGCACAGACTTGAGCAGATTACTTTACCTCTCTGAGCTTCTGTTCCCACCTAGTGAGTAAGGTATAATCACACTCTCCCAATGTAGTTGACGACCAGGTGACGTGTAAAAAGGTACATACCATTAGATAGATGAGAGGCAAACTACTCACGGCACCTACTATGGGTTTATTGATGTTATTGTTTTATATAAATATGATTATCAGTTGAAATTACTAGACAAACTTCTTCCAAGCAATTTTAATACAAATCCTGTCTCTTTTTAAATATTTCCCACAAAAATGTCCTACATGGTGCTTTGCAAGAAGCAGTGCTTAATAAGTGCATCTAGCATGAGGAATTACTTCATCTTGATTCATTTACTTTCTCATTTCTTAGAAAACTAAATTCTTCCTCAGGAAATAACCATTTACTCCTACATTTTCCACTGGAATCTTCTCTATCCTATCAAAAGGAAAAAGAAACCATTCCCCTTTCAGTATATTTTTACTTTCTTTTCCATTTGCATTTTAAGAACTATGAAATATAGACTTTTTTTAAAAAAATCTTTTCACATATCTTGAATCAGTGCATCCAGGAGCAAAGATCATCTTCCATTTTTCTTATCTTTTCCAGTTTTATTGTCATCCATGAAGCTAATGAGAACAACTATTCCAGTCTGTTCTCTCTCACTGAAGTCAGTATGTCTAGCTACATGAATAATTTTCTTTGAAGCTCTTAATATAGCCACACCTTTACTGGAAATGAGCAGGAACCAGTGCCCATGCAGTGACCTTGTCTGTACTGAGCCCTGACCTCCTGCCAGGCAAACCATCCTAAGGGCTTTGCTTCTGTAATCCCACTTACCCTCACAGCATCCCACCTGCCTGATTTCACCAGCAAGTAACTGGATGCCTGAGGGGATTCAGAAATGTACACCAAGTCAGGAGGCTAGAAAGTGAAGGTGGAAGGAGTCAAACCCAAGCAATATGACCCACAGTCAGCAACTGAACTACTGCCTGATAAGTAACAGCTGTGCCTCCTCCTTCCTACAGAAGATATGAGTGTGGGTTCAGTAATATTCATCAAAATAAAAGTGAAAAGTAAAACATTTTAAAATATAAATTCTGGATTGGATTTATGGCTTACTTATATACAGGTAACCCCAGGCCACATCAGTTTCTTTCTTTGTGCCTTGTAAAACAACAAACAATTAAATATCTATGCTACAGAAATGAAGTTGGGATCAGGTGTCAATCTATATAAAGCAAGTACCAGGTCAGCCAGAGATGTGGTTGGCGGGGCAGCTTGATCTCACAGGGCCGACTACACACTCTGATTCCTGGACCCAAATGAAGAACATGCTGAGTGCATGTGTGTGTGCCTAAAATCCCAAAAGGAAGGGGAAAAAATGGAGCAGAGGGATTGTCTTACTCGGAACCGTACACACTCTCTGGCAAAATTTCAAATAAAAAGAAAAAAAAAGCAAGCAAATAGCATCATGCCTGTCCACTTCATAATAGAGCACATGTGTATGCTCACAAGAGAGAGCAGTAAAGAGAGAAGGAAAGAGAGACAGAGAAGAGCACAACCATAGGACTTGGTCAGGCCATAGTCCTCTTCCTCCAAGCCTCTAGCCCACCAGGATTCCAGACAGTTTCAGGCTTACCTAGTCAGGGACTCAACTTTGTTTGTCATGTGGCATCCAGCACCACAGTCCAACATGCTGCTGACTGCAACCACAGAAGCTGAGACCTTAAAGACAATTTTTGAAAACATTTTGAGCAAAGTAGAGCTTCAAGTATTGTCTCTTGGTAGTAGGGAATTGTTGAAGGTTTATCAACTTCTCTGAGAGTTGTACGTAGAATTGTGCTTTTGAAAACTTGAGTTTAAAAGCATCGTAGAAGATGTAATCCCTGAGAGCAAGACCTAAAATAACAGCACATTGTTGGAACCCTTCTTGCAGTCCAGACAAAAGAAAGTGAAGGCCCGAAGTAGTAGTGGTAGAAATGGGAGAGCAACTCCATCCATATATCCAAAGAAAGAATTCAAGGGGTTGAGCTGCCTGTTTAATATGCCCCTAAGGATTATAGCAGCCAGGTATTATTAACCAAAAGCAATGAACTACTTGAAGTAGATTTTATGGTAAAGATAATGAGGGTTAGTTTGGGAAAAAAATTAATATCCTGCCAAAACAAATCAACAAATCATAGTGAAAATATTTATTAGAAATTAGCTTTGTGTTCAGAAGTTGCATCTTAGATGTTGATGAACACTTGGCATTTGTAGAGAGAATGGCAGAGAAACTCCTAGTAGTAAATGACTATCAGCAACATCAGCATCCTGTTGGGGTTCCTAGTAGGTGCTCAGTAAACTTGAGGAAGAAGAGGGAGGAGGCAAGGTGAGACAGCGTGATGCCAGAAGAGAAAGAGCCCAGAAGAAGAAAGAGATGGGAGAAGAGAGGAGGAGGCAGCAAAAGACGATGAGAAACAAGCCTCACTAGAAAAACCAGAACAAGGGAGTGCCATAGAGGGCCTTGCTTCTTGGCTTACCTCTATTTGTGTATATTGAATATGATTGTACAGACACCCCAAAGACTGGCATTTCCCCTTTGTTCACTTCTTACAAATGGTCTGAATACTGCTGGTTAGTCACTTCAGTGCAGGGAGTGCCATGAAAGACAAAGCGCCCCTGCTGGAATAATGAAAAAGAATGGGCACTGTATGCTGTGGGGCTTTCCAAAAGATGATTCCTTGAAAATAATGACTCATGGCCCTAGCTCACTGTCTACTTTACTCCATTTTTCCATGATCACTTTCTGAATTTCTTTACCAAGCTTTATTTTACCCTGCAGCTTTATCTGTTGGCAGCATCCCTTACAGTTGCATGGAAATGCAATGATAAAAGAGCATTCATCACATTCTGGATTTCAGTGAGGAGACTTGGGTTCAAGATGTGCTTTTACCACCAAAGAGCTCCTCCCTCTAAGTCCTCCGCCATCAGCAGACTACTCCCACTGTTCCCAAACTCACATTGCTGACCTCCTCCTGGCACATCCATGGAGCTCCTCCAGGGCTTCACTTGACCGATGAGTGAAGTGACCTTCACAATGGCCCTGTGAGACCATGTCCACCTGCTTGAAATCTACTTCAGCTTCCTAGACATCATCCTACCTGCTTGGCCTTTCTTTCTTGGGTTCCTTTGTTGTTCCTTCTCTTGTTGGCTGTAAATACTAGTCCCTGGAGCTTTCTTCTCTAAAAATCTCTGAGCAAACTCACTCAGTTTAGAACTTTATAAGTTCTGTCTCCAGCTCCCGTCTCACCTTGATCTCATCTGCTTAATGAACATACCCATCAACATATATGAAGATCATCCAGAACTGAACTTCCTATCTTATTTTCCAGGCCTTTCTCAGAGATGGGTTAGCCATCTCCCAACTACCCAAGCCAAAGACTTAGACTCCTCCTTGAATCTTTTTCTTCACTAATCAGCTATATACAATTAAAATCCAAACCTATTAATTGTACTTCCAAAGATTTCTTTCAACCTATGCTGCCACTACCTAGTCCTGTAAACAAGAGTCCTTTACCTTGACAATATCTGGTCTTCTTGTCTCTCTAATTCTCCCTTTATACTCCATTCTTCCTTCTGCAATTCAAGTGATCTTTCAATCTAATCATGTCACTCAATAAACTTCCAAGGATCTTCATGGTCTGGACTTTGCTCATTTCTCCATCTCTATTTCTCACTAATGCTCTCCTCATTTTTTCTTTTACTTCTTACCTTTGCACATATTATTTTCTCTTTCCTAGAATTCCTTTTTTCTTCTCACCTTCACCCAATGTATGGCTAGATAAGAATCAGCTTTCTTGCCTCAATCTCAATCCTGCTCTCAGCCCTGTCACCACTAGCTTTCTTTGCTCCTTCCTCATAATAGAAGAGAGAGCTC